GTGTGTGTGTGTGTGTGTGTGTGTGTGTGTGTGCGTGAGAGAGAGAGAGAGAGAGAGAGAGAGAGAGAGAGAGAGAGAGAGAGAGAGAGAGAGAGCAACAAGGGAAAAAAAAGCAAACAGAGAAACAAAGACAAACACAGAACCAAACGGAAAAAGCAAGCAAGGAAGCAAGCAAGCAACCAACCAACTCAAGGTCCCAAGCAACCCAACCAGCCACACATTTCAGACAAGCCACTAAATAGAAAACAAAGAAACCAAAACAAACAAACAAGCAAGCAAAAAAACAAACCACAAAATGCGAACAAACAAACAACAAAAGCAAGTCTTAGAAAGGAAGCAAGCAAGTTGAAGCAGGCAACATACAAACAACCTGCCTACCTAACACACATGTCAAACGAAACGTGAGGGTTCTAATGGAGGTCGTGAGAATAAATTATGATCAGTGAACGTGGACCGTATTACTAGTTTATGTTGATTCAACCATTCAACTTGATTTTACTCACATAAGAATAAGACGACGCGCCTCTGAAGACCAGCAGGATCTTCTTGGCTGCAAGCCGGCGAGTCGAGTGCTGCTAACTCTGAGCTGCGGGACAAGGGTGGCACCTTCTGCACCTGCGTTCCAACTCCCATGCGCCGGAGCTCCTTGCACACTTTGTGAAAGGATGTTCGGAAGGGTTTGAACTGGGGGTCATCTCCGAGGAATCTCAAAATTTTCCTCTTCTTTCCACCCTGACCGGATTCGTTGAGCAGGAGCACCTCCTCCTTGTGTGCTCGCTCGAGTCCATGGATTATAGTTTTCAGAGTGCGAGGAGGGTAGCGAGATTCCAGAGTGTTGGTGGACACAGAGCTCTTCTTTCTCACTGACACCACAAATTGGCTGAGCAACCGATTAAGGTCTGTCACTGGCTGCTCGTGAAACGGCAAGGACCAAGTTCCGTAGAAGGGAGAGTTCTTCTGCGTCTCAAGCCACGACTTAAAGATGTTCATGGAGAACTTAGTCGACCGCCTGGTATTCTGTGCCACACACACACATGGACAAGCTTTCAATAACATGAACAGTGAGCACTGAGCACCAACCGGCATCAACTAAAAGGCCAAAAAGAGGAGCAAGACGACCGCAAACGTTGAGCTAGAAGAGCACTCCCACCAACAGCCGAACAGCAAAAGCAGCCACCAAATGAGGGCGGCTGCTGCTGAACAAATGGGCGGCAATCAGGCCTATACGAACAGAAACCAGCAGCAAAACGCAGCAGAGCAGATCAGTGGACGAAGCTACCAACACTAAACAGCAGCCACACTGCAAAGCAAACACAGCATCACATTCACTACCACCTCAAGTGTAGCAGTTGCAGCAACGACACGGATTGAATCACAACTGCATTGTCAGGCAGACAAGTGCAAACCCCCCATGTTCCCTGGAATTGAATGGAATCAAAGGATCCATGTCATATCAGCCGGCAGAGACGGCTGTGTCCGACTGTCCAGGCAGGGACTGGATACTATACATCCGTGAGTGTGAGGACATATACTCACACCAGGACCTTTTCTACCAAGATCTGGAGGTGATTGCAGTCAGGTTCGTCCAGTTTTGGCCGTAATTGCACTCAGATACTGTGTGAGCATGCCCTGAGACCACAATAACAAATCTTTTATGTCGAAAGAAAGCAGTACAACTATTTTAGGGTCACCGTTCAGAACAGACAATAAAGCCACCGCACCCAAAACAATCCTGAGAAAAAGAAAAAAAGAAAAAAAATTGAAAAAAAAAAAAAAAACCCATCCAAGTTGATCCAACGCCCCTCTTCGGGTCCAGAAATGGCCGAAAGGTTTGGTGACTGAATTCCAATTGTCAACGTTCGATATCACATCCAAATTCCAGTTTGGAGGTTTTATATTTCTTTTTCACCTTTTTTTTAATGACTTGCCTCCATTCATCAAGGTCCACCAGGACTTCATCTAGGGACTGTATTTCCCTTCTTTTTTTCCCCTTTTCTTTTCCCCCCCCAACAGTTCATGGGTGTATAAACTGAGCTAGGCTCAGTAGTGAGGTTTGGATTTCAAACTTGAGGAATGTGCAGTTTCAAAAATTATCTGCAAGCATTATACTTCCCTCAGTTCCCTGTTACGGAGAGCTTGGCTACATTGTCACACCTTGAGTGTGAGAGAGAAGACTTGGGAGGAAAAATAAAAAGGAAATTTTAAATGAAAAAAAAAGGAACAAAGACCAAAAAAAAGCAGTAGTAGAATGAGAGGATCTCCTGCTCTGTCACACGTTCCCTATGAAACTTAAAAAAAAAACAAAAAAAAAACAAAGAGCCGAATGATTTAATGCGCAGATCTCCTGCTATCCCTGTTACGCCTTCCCTTTCAAACTGTGGCATTTCTGTGTCCAAATTTCTCCAAAAGCTCTCTTTTCTTTTCCTCAAGAGTCAAGAGTCAAGAGTCAAGAAAGCGATGTTCGTTCCCCATTAACCTTGCCAGTCCTAGCCTCCTAGGCTCCGACTATTCCAAGACAGTAATCCCCCTCTCCAGATTCTCCACCTTCCCAATCTCAAGCCCTGCCTTGTTTCTTTCAATCCCCTCTCTCGTGTCTATAATTCCAGGCGTGCTCATCAGTGTTGAGCTCGGCTGCCTCAGCATGATTGCTGCTACTTCCAGTCGTGTTGATTACGGGGAAAAGGGGCAGGGGACAGGGGGTTAGGAGAGGAGGCAAGGAAAAGAGGGAAGGGAGGGGTGGAGGGAACAGGGAGGAAAGGGACAGGGGAGCACAGCCAAACAGGTGACTGGCCGAGACAGGTTGGGTGTGATCCCCTGCGCAACTGCATTGGGATATCCTCCTACTAGTACCTACCTTCCTGACAAATGCTTTGGATTGTACAGATGATTTGCTCCAGATTGCCCGTCACGCAATATTCTGCATCCGACCGACGCAAATGAGGATGTTTCGGTGTCCGGGCATCGTTTGAACGGTACCCCGACTGTCTCTATTTGGATCGGTTTTGGATGCTGTGGCTTTAAGTTACACTCATGTTTGAAGATTCTTGATTAGTTGTAACTGTATTTAAGAGGAGATAGCACGAAATCGGCTCTCCTGTTTCTTCAAAGGGTACATTGGACTGAATTCTGGTAGACCACCTTATTCCATCCCTCTCCCTCCCTCCCTCCCTCCCTCCCTCCCTCCCCCTCTCTCTCTCTCTCTCTCTCTCTCTCTCTCTCTCGCTCGTTGGACCTGATTCTGAGATGCTCTACCTGCCGACCAGAGATGAGCACCGGGTACCCAGACCCGCACCCACCTGCACCCACCCCACCCACGAGGACATTGGGTCAGGTGCGGGTCTTGATAAGGTGACCTGGGTGGGATGAGGGCGGGTCAAGGCCAGGCAGCCTGGGTGGGTGACAGGTGGGTCAACATTAGGCCTGGGTCACCCAAGTGGGTGGGTGACAGGTGGGTGAGTGTTAGGCCTGGGTCACCCGACCCACAGACCCAGGACAACCCATGAGGACCCCCTTCCCCCCCCAT